TCATTATAATATTAATTGATGTATTTGCTTTTCTGGAAAGAAAAATATGTCTTGTCCTTTCTTCATTTCATTCAATAATTTTACATTCCTCTGTTAACAGTGGCAAACTTTCTCTCATAAAGCATTTCAAAGATTAAGTAAAAAGGTATATGTACGTATATCATACATTCGCAATTGGTCGTTACTAATTCAGTTATCCAATAAAATTCCCCCGAACAAGGAACAGGGTACGATACAAAGAACCATCTTAAAACTTGATCTTTCAATGCAACCAACTGCTCTTCAATGGTGTAATATTGACCTTATCAGCAAATTCAATCTATCATTTGGGTACAGTCCACTAATTGTTTTCCCATAGGCGACAATGTTAACGTTTCTTCTCATAGCGATGTCCCTAATTTTCGTTCGGTAGTGAGTGACCCCTCAAATCAAAGCACATCAACTTGTCTTTCCTTGGTTAAAATCTCGAGGTGGCATGTCAGATTATTTTTCCGGCAAAAAGCGTCTGTCTGCGGGAACCTCTAAAAATGAAAGTGAAAGTAGGGGAATTTCAGAATTCTCACTGGCGTTATAATACACAAAATAATTCGGCTGATCTTCTTGATAAATTACATTTTCAAAGCTTTTTTGGCAGGAAAGATACTCCTTATCAACAAGTGTGAGGCTCAGTTCAGTACACCTGCCCAATTTTTTTTATGCAAGTCTGCAATTTAAGGAACTTGTAAATTTTTCTGCACTACTTTCTTCTCCTACCGATTCTAAAAATAATTAGTGGGATGTACCCATTTAGTCAAATGCTGACTGACTTTTGAAGTCTAATTGCTGAGCCTTAGTTAACACAATGAATTGTCTACGAATGTTTAATTTTTTGGCGGCCATGACAGAAGAAAGCATCTGGGGAGTGGGGGGGGGGGTTCGACAGGAGAAGCTTGCTCCTCAATGGCACCTGATCCCACTTTTTATTTATAGTGATTTGAGATTGCGCTGATATGGACTCTTTTGTTTGATCTCTGTTCGTTATTATTGCTGGCAAAACCAGCAATAACTGTATAGTTAGCATATTGTATTGATTTACTTGAGTATTCATAGATTATTGATAAGAAATGCTTCTTTTCAAGCACTAAATCGATATTTATTCGAATTCTAAAAATCTTATCAGGAAATCACGAAACAAAACACCTTATATCAAGTATTTGCTATGTACTATGGATGTGCAGACTGGAAAAACATTCACCTGAGTTAAAGTATCCATCATTTTAATCTTTCGTTCATTTACAGCGGTATTTAAAGCTTTTTGTGTACGTATTGTTGTTTTAAGCTTTTCAGAGTCAAACCTCCAAATGAGCTCTTAACTATGCTTTGAGAAAATAAAACTCAAACGTAGAGTAGGCGTTGTTTTAAAAGTATCTGCAAAGCTTTTCAAAATCAAGACATAAATTCCTAGGCCAAACAAATCAAAGCTGTTTTCACATATATTTTCACAACTCATTATCGAATAACTCTTAATCTATAGAAATTAAGGCTATATTGGTAAACTTTAATGCAAAATTCAGTCCTCGGAAATAAAAGACAATTGAACAATTTCCTGTTCAAAGACAATGTTTTGGGTAATAATTTAGATATATTTTCATTTCTGTCAGCCGGTGTCTCTAGCTGCCTCTCTGTCTGTCTGCTAGTTTGTCTGTCTGACTGACTGTCTATATATACTGTACGTGTACATAATTTGGCGTATTCACAATTTAGAAATATCTTTGGGTATGGAGCTGTTGGCGTAAAATTGAATTAGCGCCATACACTTGTACGTTTAGTGTTTTGTATATGTAAATGACTTCTTAGCGGTACTAATGAATTAACACATTGTTTTCTGCGCCAAAGCCGCCTTTTTAAAGTACATATACAGCATGTGTTTGTTCAATATCTCTCTCGTCCCCTTTCTCTCCAACACTTTAGTAAATATTGAACACAACATGTTCGCCCAAAGGACAAAATATGTAGATGCGTAACTGTACATGTTATCGTCTATTATGCAGGAGGGAAAATGTCTCGTCTCGGTTCAGATTTTCGTTGTTGACAAGGTTTCCAAATTGACGATAAGGTACCAAAACACAGTTTCGTATAAAATCCAGGGGGTTTATCCCGGAGAGAAGCATGCTGGGTAGGGATTTTCCTGCTATTTATAGGAGTCTACATGAAAACTGCATCTTTTTTGTTTTGTTTTTTTTTTCGCATAAAGAAGAGTCTTATCTTAATATTCAAAGAAAAAAATGTGCATTTATTTTTAGAAAAAAAAATTGTGAGACTTTTTAATAGGGGGAGATAACTCCCAAAACATCCGGTCTTCACATGTGCAGAATTGCATGAGTCAAGTAGCAGGTAATGTAGCTCTTTTAAAAGGTGGAAAATGTACCCTGAAAGCAAAATAAAAGAAAACCTTAGGCCTTGTTCTGTGAAATGAACATAACTTACTTTGTCAGATTTTTTTCTGTTTTTGTTGAGCAGGGGGGCTATAAATGCATAGGTGCACTGAAAATGGATGCATAAACAATCCAATATCCCCCATGTTTCATGTGTCAAATACTCCCTACTAGTAATAGATGAATAAATTTTTCTTGTATATTTATAAAATTCACAAGTTATTGATATGTAGAAGTCTATGTAACAAGCCTCCATTTTATTTCTTTTTAGGGGTCAGTTTTGCTTGTCCCTCACCAAGTAACGTCCTGATAACGTCATACATAACACTGGTGTTTTGCACCCTAATGCGTGGAGTGAAGGTGGCTACATATTGTCCCCCACGACAATATTTACAAATGTTTCATCACAGGGGTACTTGATTTGACAGGAAAACAGGTGTGTGTATGTTGTTCGACGTCCCTCTCGAGCATTTTTCACTCATGAAAACGCCAGCACTTACCAATGGAGAGCTGCAAATTTTGTCCTATACTCGGCACTCACGGTCATTGGATCTTTTTGGAGGGATCTTTATCGGGTTACCATCCTAGGTCTAATAATGAAGTCATAATTGTAAGAATACATTGGAAATTGAATATAATTATACAGTTTGTAAATCACATCTAAAAAAGAATTATAATTATGCTAATAATAAATATCTATGTAATTTTTATTCAAAATTTAGCTTGTTCAAAAATTTAACGGACAACCCTCGTACATACGCGAAGTTACCAAAATGTTAAAGAGTACCATTTCTCTTCGGACACTCTGTACGTTCTTTTTCGTGCTAGCACAAACTGTGATATATGACATTGGTTTATAAGGTTCATTCGAAGGACTTGTCTCCACGTCCGACAGTGGGGTTCAAACTCGCGACATATGGATCAACTGCTTACTGTAAATTCACATATTTTAGAGGGATCATATTTTTGTTGTAAAAGGAAAATACATGAGTTAATGGGGATTTAGTTTTGTGGATGAAGTATTGTTAAGTAGTAATATCTGTGAAAAATTACATTTCATGGTGGAAATTAGTGGGTCTCCTCATACCTCGAAAACTACGAAAATTAAATTAAACCTCCAAGAAAATAAATGATTTCACAGTATTTCGCGAGTCTAGTGCAGATCCTCTAACCAATGCGCCACGAGGGCAATTTAACAAGCAGACCGTGCTAATTATGTAGGATTATGGTATAGCAATTAGGTGTCAGTTCTGTGTCAGTTCTGTTGTGGAAAAAGATTCGATCAGTTTCTTTGTTACATTTACGCAGGTCAGTTCTTTTCAACATCGAAATCATAACTCCGGTAAGTTTGATAAAGTAATTAAGTTTATCTTCACTAAATCCCTTTATTTTATGATCAGAAAGATTTATAATTATAAGATCCTCATACAGTAGTATGCATAAACCATCGTGTGATGAGCTGGGTAACACACGTCTGTTTTATTTAACAGTTTAAAGATTTTTTTTGGTTGAGACAAATTACAGAAATAATTTTTTTAAAAAATACCAACTACGAAACATGCGAGCAAAAATATGCTAATGCTATCATATTTATCACCTTGTATATGCTATATGATCTGTTGATATAAGGACTTTATAATTGCGCAAACATGTAGACTTGAGGCAAAACACATAAATATTATCATAAAATACCCTTTACAGTATTTGACAACATATCACTTGAACATGTAAGACATTCAGGAAAAATGATCAATTTGCTATTGATTAGTTCGGATCCAAAAAAAAAAAATAATAATAAAATTAAAGGTCTGCCAGTGTGTTATTTTTTTTTTTGGTGACATACCTAATGCATTATATTTGTATAATTTATCAATGAACTTATTGCAAGATGACATGTTGAATGGATTATTTCATGGCTAAAACTTTTAACTTAAATTTAAAATTTCAACTTTTTTGTATTTATTTATTTCCAAATTAGAAGTGAAATAAAGTGAAATAAATGTAAAATAAAATAATAAACACTTTATAATAGAATGTTAAATAAATCCCATTCTTCTAACCCTTATATTGATGGAGTAGATGAAATCCTATTTTGCCTTTTTTTTCTCAATATGGAGAATTATGAGAAATAAAAAGGATAAATGGTAATCAATGTGAAATTGTTTTCTCCTGGATATAATGCATTTCATACAAATGCATTACATGCAAATATCGGGAACTCTCAAAATAAAACAACAATCATCTTTAGAAGACTTACCGATGATAAGAAAAGGAAGATAAGAAATTAATGTTCTAGAGCCTAACAAACTATATTGCAAATACAGAGAATGCTTTAAAATTTAGATTTTTTTTAAAATCAATTAAACGTAAAGATACCCAAAATGGGGTGTGAAAATAATGATTTGATCTGATGAACGTTTCGTTTTTAAACTAATTATGAAGATTGCCTTGCGTGGTTATCAAAGGCCATGATAATGTTCATTTGTCAAAATACACTATGATATGAAGAATAAAATTAAACAAATTAAAAATTATGAATTCATTTGCAGAATATAATTATCTCCCTTGGAGTAAAGTTCCGTTGAAATGAGGTGGTATCGGCGTCGAAAAGCAGCACACTTATTTCTACTTGGATTCGTCATTCTTCTTTGGATGGGATTCAGATCCTTAATTCTTGACAGAGATTTGGAACGTGATATCAAATTTGTAAGGAACTTTATAACAAGAAATGTTTCAGTAATAAGTAACACTTTACAGCGAATCGTACCAACTCCATTGCCAGGAACAACTGTACTCACTATAAAAATATGGAAGCATTTGAGGAAGCCTAATACAAACATTCCTTTTCCAGAACCAGTAGACAAATATTACTCTCAAGCCGGTCAAGACCAAGCTGTGTATAACATATTTCCAAAGCAAAACGGTTTTTTCATTGAAATGGGAGCTTACGATGGTAAAATACATTCTAACACCTTGTGGTTGGAGAGAAAACACAATTGGACAGGATTGCTGATAGAAGGAAACCCACTATCATGTCCCCACATTGACCGCGTCAAACGCAACGCCTGGCGTCTCTGCGCATGCGTGGCACGTGAAAATGAAACAACGTTTATAGAAGGAGATGAGCTAGGGGGTTCTGAAAAAGACATGGCGGAGAGTCACGTAATTCAATTGAAAGGGTACAAAAGAACCAAAGTACCTTGTTTTCAGTTAATTGACGTTTTACAATTAATCGGTGTTTTCCACATTAATTACTTTTCGTTGGATGTTGAAGGCGGGGAAATGGCGGTGCTCAACAGCATGAGAGAGCAGTTGATTTCTAGACAAATAATCGTTGATGTATGGACCATTGAATATCGAGCTTGGGCAGGGCCAAGGTTTGATTGGGCTAAAGGAAAAGAAAATTTGGCAAATTATCGAATCTTTTTCAAAGAGATAGGAGGATACGTCGAACACTCACAATTGTCTTACGAGACACGTAGGCTAGGAGACGGTTACTATCTGGATGTTGTCTTTGTTTACATAGAGACCTGGTGTAAAGGCCATAGCTTGCTTCCGGACGGAAAAATAAAATGTAGACCATTATCTCAATAAAGGATATCACAATATTTTCAGTATTTTTTTTTTCTATTTAGAAAAAAAAACCCAGTTTTTTAACAACAATTCAAAGGTTGTCCAATGTTTTTTACTATTGTAAGTCAAAGTTGCCAAATTTTTACTGTAGTAAATCAAAGTTCTAACTTTTTTCTTTGGTACTATAGTTAACTATACTTTACTACAGTATTTTTTATGATAGTGAAAATGTGGTAAACTTTTTTCTGAGTCTGACATGAATAGAAAAGCGGCTGAATCTGCTACGCTCATAAACAAAACAAAACAAAAACCTTTGACGCGATCAGTGAGGGAATTTACATTAAATCTATACATTTTTTAACCTAAACTGCCTTCAATCTCATTTCATATTTCTAAACGCTCTACAAAAATTTAACCTGAAAGGTTAAAAGAATTAACAGGAAATAATATTAGTATGAATAATAATAAGTACCGTTGATTCCTCATTTTTTGCGAGTACTTTCTATCGCGTACTAGCTCTTTAACGTTAAATCGGAAGAATAATACTCTGCCAATGAACAGTTGATCAATAGAATTTAAATGGATTTCAGCACCCTAGAAATTAAAGCTAGTAATACCAGTATTATTTTGCAAGTGATGCTTCCTGTGAAATTACGCGGAAATAAATTCATCGCATATGATAAAGAATCTACAGTATTTAAGCTGAACACTTCTCATAAATAGGCACTGTCAGACGGGTATATAAACCGTTCACTTTCGTTACACCCGATTGCACACTCGAAACTCGTGGCCGACATGTAGTACTCCTATCGTGGTCTTAGATTTTTTGCGTTTATTTCTTGTTTTTATGTGCATTTACTGTTTGTAAATAATGTATTGACCTGCATTGTTCGTTATACTTTTGACCTGTTTCGGACAAAAAGCGTAAAATTTGATAATTTCATCGATATTGAGTAGCATGCTTTGTAATATGTACGTCTACATTCGTCGGATCTCTTCAGTGAAATACATCGAACCGTCTAGCGATCTGCTCCTTATATACGAGTTGTAGGGACAGCGTTGAAGAACGGGAAATATGGCGGACTATGCCTATTTACGAGTAGTGTTCAGCTTTAAGAAAGTATTGGAATTGAATGTTATTTCCCTATTGATAGATATAATCATCTTCACGATTATAATTAAAAATGCCGCAATACCGTCAAAACATGAATTTTAACATAATGTAAAATTGTTCTTTAATTTATCAAGACAAACTTACATTCTAAACATATTAAGCTAAAATCTGAAAGTGTGGATACCCGTTGATTGCGTAACATTGTTCCATGTCCACACTTTGCTTTGTATTTTGGTTGCCTTTAGTCCATTAATGGAAAGCGATAGTGTTAGGCATGTCACAAAGTACATGTAACTCAAATGACAAAGAATAACATTTCGAGAAATTTTATCATATGATTATCACAGAATTGTATTAAGAAGATGGCTGAAATCCATTCGAGATAGGCGAGCTAGACTCAAGCCACTCGAAGAGATTCAATGCTTTGTAGTAAAAATTATCCAAAAGACACGACAGTGCAAAGGCTTTAAAGCAGGTATTATTAAAAGTTTTTTAAAAGAATTTTTAGTTCTGACTTTTTTCTTCTATACCCAATGCACATAAGAGTACAATGTTTTTATTTCACTAACATTACATTGGATGCATGTGGTTACTGGGTAAAGATTTGCAATAGAATTTCCAAGAATTATTTTGAAAACATTTTCTGCTCAAGAATAACAATGTCGTCATTATTAGACATATTGATATTGAAACAACAGGCAAAAAGATTCATATTTAATCAAATTAAAGGTCGGTAAGGTGGTTCAACTACATTGTATAAACGATCAGAGTTGTACTCACCTCTGTAGGGATACGTAGGGGAAAATGAACAGCATGACAATGATATCATTTTGCAATGGGAACCTCCCCGGGTTATCAAAGTTCAAGCAAATATTCTGAACTGATTCTGCCATTTTTCGAGCTCAGGTCAGTGATGCGGGGCCTCTTGTTTTGCTACGTGAAAGCTAATAATGTAAGCGCTACACAACAGCAAAATGTAATAATCATTACGTGAAATTATCGTTTTTTAATGCGTGGTATAGGGTGCGTTGCAAATCAAGTGGAAGCATGAATAATCATATCATATACCATATTGTGTATGTTAAGTCTGAGACCAATGAATTCCTAAAGAACAAGGAATTCAACATCGATTTTTCTGAAAGTAATATTAGAAATTAAAATTCATTCTTTCTGAATCATTATAAGAACACACAAACCATTTTTTCTCATATGACCTTCAAAATGTTAAATGTGACGTCATTAACTTGTATATTTTCCCGTATTTTCTTTTAAAAATTGCATCGGACATTAATTTTCATTGGAATTGTTTTCTTCCAAAAACATACTCTGTATGCATCACCCACAAATATTTTGAAATATGTGATTTTTCAAAGCATTTTAAATAATATATTTAAATATTGAAGTGGGCAGACTTTATTTTCTTAAAGAGCATAAGCAAAGAAATAGGTCATTATGAGACTTTTCTGCATTAAACTTAGAAATGTACCAAATTAATAACGTCATATTACCAGAATGCTCCTCTTTCATGTTTTCCCACTTTGCACTTTGAAAAAATTACGCACATTGAAAAAAAAAATTAAAAGTGCGTTAAATTGAGACAAAATCAACGCACTTTGAAAAAAAGTTTTGAAAGTGCGTAAAGTTTCGGACACACTCAACACATTTTGAATTTTTTTTTCAAAGTGCGTTAAGAGTGTACATATGCATTTTTTTACCACAGTGACATTTGACTTTGAAAAAAATATGCATAAAACTAAAATAGGTCTCTCAGCTAAACTCTGTTTTTCTTATATACATTGTATAAAACGGTCGGTAGCAAATTGAAAGTGGACTCCCCCCAAGGTAAGCCCAATTGTTATCTCCACTTTAGCATATTAAATAACTGCAAGTTTAAACTGATGCCTAACGATCTTCCTTAAATTTCCTTTCGTCGTCTCTATTTTTTTTTCTGATTTGTTTATAAAATTCAAAAGAGTTCATCAAATAAAATAATAGTTCAACAAACAGAAGTTGGTCAAATGAATCCTATGATAATTACATTTGATTTTAATAACCAAGAATATGCAATATTAATAAGATACAATTACACAATACTATTGAACATTAGTCCTTTACGATTTACTGCATTGATACATATCTTGTGAATAATCTTAATCAAGCATGTATTTTGAATATGCCTATTCTATTCTGACGACTTTTATTTACGAAAATTACGGAATTTTACATATTAGTTAGTTTTAATATTCAGATTGTTTCATCGTTAAACATTGAATGAATATCATTCTCAATATGAAATTAAATGTGTTTCAAGTATAGATCGAGGTCTTGTGATAAACAAATAATTGAACTGTCTCCGAAAACGACATCTGTCAACAACCATTAACATCATTATGGTGGCTTTTTTTTGCCCCCCCCCCCCTCCGCCCCCCCCCCCCCCCCCCCCCTACATGTAAGATAAATTATGTTAACATTCAAGAAAATTATGTCAACATGCAGGAAAATTATGTCCAAGGGCAAGATAATTATGTTAAAATACAAGTAACAATTTTTTTTAGAGAATCTGTGATTTTGATATGCGTAAAGTCACTAACGTTAGCCCTAATCTTACATCATATAATGCAAGATGCAACATAATTATGACACGATTCGATTTACTCATGTTAACATGCAGGATGATTATGTACACATTAAAGATATTTACATTTATTTTAACATTCTACTTATCAATGTCAAAATGCGACTTAATTATGTCAGCATGCGAGCTATATATTTATATACAAGATATTTCTGTCAACATGCAAGATATTTCAGATTTGCATATCAACATACTTATATCTTATTATGTTTACATATCAAATTTCATCTTGCATGTTGACATAATTATCTTGCATGTTAACATGAATTAATCATGTTTACATAATTATCTTGCATGTTGACATAAATAAATCGCATGTCTACATAATTACATTGCATCTTGCATTCAAGATGTCAGAAATACAGGCGTTTGTAAGTAAATTTACCCATATATAACTTATTCCCAGATAGCATGACTCCGTTGGGCCAACGTTGGTTTTTGGTTGTATGGTTGGTAGAGTGTTGACGTTGGGGAACAGATGTAGGCCCAACGTTGGTCCAACGTTCATTTACGTTGGCATGAAAGCTAAACCAACGGTGTTGGGCATGTGATGTTGGCCCAATGTTGGTCCAACGTTCATTTACGTTGGCATGAAAGCTAAACCAACGGTGTTGGGGATGTGATGTTGGCCCAACGTTGGTTCAACGTTCATTTACTTTGGCATGAAAGCTAAACCAACAGTGTTGGGGAAGTGATGCTGGCCCAATATTGGCCCATTGTAGATACATGTTGGCAAGAAACATAGAGACTTTGTCCAACATAGGTCCAACCGAGTAAATGTTGACATGGATCAAGACCATTGTCTCTTGAGTATGAAATGTTGGCCCAACGTAGGTCTAACTGAGTACATATTGACACAAAACATTGCCACTTATTGTTGGTAAGTCAATGTTGGCCCAACGTTGGCCCAGCTTCATAAATTTTGACAATATAATGATACATTGCTCTGTGTTGGGCGTACATGACGGAACTGGTGTTGGTCCAATAGTAGGAATATTGGAATAAATAGTACATGTACAGGTAGCCTGTTATGTTTGAGATGAAATGCTGGTCTAACGTTGGCCCAATATTGCGAAAAGTATTTTCAATTTAGATTTATTTATTGTAAATCGATGGTAATGTAATAAGCAACTCATTACAAACATGTGATCTATATTAAATATTGTATGGAAATTATGAGACAATCCTTATAAGTCTGTGAATTACATATAGTAATTTTGTATCTTGGTAGATTCTATATTTAGCATCATTGAATCAAATTTAAAGTGCTGT